GAGTCGTTATTCAAGGAAGCCTACAAGAATCGAGGGGGTGGGGGGAAAGCGGACGGGCACGCCGGCGAATCGTCGGGAAAAACGTCGACAGATTACAAGGGTCGCCATCGGAACAATCGGGGGATCGAGCACGCTCAGAGGGTCTCGGGCGACGCGACGGTCAGAACAGAACCCTTTCGCTGGCAGCATCGGACGAGCTCTAGTCGCGGCAGCTGACGGAATTTAATGGGTGAGCTTGAAAGACCGTCTACTGCATCCGCTGGGCAGCCCTCAACTTCTCGCTGTTTTCGAGTTTCTTGCTCTCCCTCATTTCCTCCCGAGACATCGGAACAAGTGGCCTCTGGGCACGGTCAGGAGGAGCTTTCAAAAAATTGCTGCCCATCTCGCCCCGACCGTATGTTCAGTCACCCGGAGTGTTCCCCTTCGCGTCCTCCATCCCCGATGGCTTGTCCGCGGCCTTTGTCCAGATGTTCATTATTCGTCCTGTCCTCGAAGATGAAAACCGAGGACGAGTCCGAGACGTAGCAGGAGCCCTCCTGGAAGCGAGATCGAAGTGACCTGTGTTCTCTGTTCACTCGAGCATCGACTCTCCTGATCCTATTCGTTCGAAAGCCCGTTTTCCCCGGCGAAATCTCACGACTCAAAGCGGCACCCTCTCCCATATCCCACGTTTTTTTTCCCACGTCGGGTTTTTGTGCTGCTGCGATGACACTTAGCGAAGGTAAGAGGGCAAAACTTTCCAATGGAGATATTCTTCTGACAGTGAGTAGTTTTCTGGAAAACTGCGACCAGCCGTGTCCTCTCGAGCCGTGAGGGAGAAAGGGGCCTATGACTCTCGCCACTTTACCTCATGGAAGACCCTTCAAGCTCAGCCGGGTGATCCTGGACCGGAATTCTCATCAATTCTCAAGAACAGATCCTTCAGTTCCTCGAGCTTCCCCTCCAGCAGATGGAGAAACGTTGGACGGAAGATCCCGAGTCGAGTTTGCTCCGATGACCGATCCGCTCGACATTGGGCAGCTCTCGAATCCGAGAAACATCAAAAGCTTTTCTTCTTTGTGTCTTCTTCTGTTTGATTCAATTATATGAATGGATGGATATTCTTTCGAGTCGTTGCCATGCCGTCGCGGAAGCGCCAGACCTCATCCAAAATATCACGGCAATCTGAGCAGAATGAAGTTTCAGCTAGTGAAATCCGGGTATCGTCTTGCCTCATGAACCTCCTAGGAGAGAGGAGGCGAGGGGAGATGTCAATGATTTCCATTCTCTCCGAAGATTCAGATGAGTTTTGACGCGCAACTCGCATCGAGAAGGGACTTCAAAGCGGAGGCTCGCACAGGGGGGGAGGGGCTTGCCGCCCCCGTAGAAACTAAGGGTCACACTGCTGAAGTGTGGACCGCGGGGAAGCTCGTGATCACTTGGGTCGTCCGACCCCCTCCGGAGCTCGATTTAAAAAAAACTTAACGCGGCCCTGCTTCCAATGAAGGAGGAGAATGACTCCGATGAAGATTTTGACCCGAAGATTTCAGGGAGCAGCCGCGATCACCTTGCGAAGTGCTGAGAGTGTCAGCCTCGGACACCGATCGGCTACTGTATTTCCTCCTGGAATTTCACCTTCTCTTCTCGCATATCCCGCCGCTTCCGCAGACTGCGGAAACTATCAAAAGGGTCGGCTCATCACGGCCGTCGGAGGGATCAATGGAGGAACTCATCGCTCGGAGGCAAGCGCTTCCGGAGGCTGGATGGTGGACTTTATCATATCCGCTCCGAGCAGCTCACCTGACTACTCTCGTCCGCCCTCTTTCAAGGCCGCGGGAGCCGCAGTTCGTCAGCGGTGAGGAGCGTCATTGGGAGATCGATTCTTTAATAAAACCTCCTTCCTCTCTCGCCACCTCGCTGGTCACGCCGGAGGTCGGGCACCGCGTTCTTCCTCCCGACCACTGATAAAGAATCGTGCGGAATTTTATCCCTTTTCGAAAATTGATAGCTTCCACCTCCCACCTCGACGCTCTTCTCCTCCGCTGCTAACGATGGAAAGCCTCGATAGATCTCTCCGCGACTCTAAGTTCTACAGCGCAGCTCAAGCCAGACAAGAGCATTTGGTAGTCGAGTGCTTTGCGTTTCGAATAATTTTTGGGGGAGAAGCAGCTCGCTGACGAAAGTGCCCAGCGAGAACTTGGCTCCAGAAACGGCGCGACGCTCGGCTGTCCGAGCGGGGGGATGTATTTTCACCGAAGGCTCCTACGAGGTCCGAAGAATCGAAAAAAAATACAGTTCCGTTCTCCGCTGGTCATCGCGGGGGCCTGCCGGGATCTCTCCGTTTCACAGCCGATCAAGGGCCGGTCTTCAGTATCGATGCCTCATCGAAGATATCCATAGCATTGGGGAGAGACTCCTGACAACCGTCGCTAGAGAGGTCAAGCCCGAACTGACTGACTGGGCCCGAGGACGCTGAGGTTGCCGGGCACCGCGAGATGGAGCATTCCTCACTCCCATGTGGTATTATCCCAATAACACTCGGTGCGAAGGCATCTTACGGCCGAACGTCTCCAAAACCGCGGCTTGCATATCTTCCCGGTGCTCGTGTTGTGTATGGAGTCTCGGAGCGGTGTCTCGATTTCTTTCTTCAACTTGACAAAACGTTCGTTTTCATCCCATTCGATACAACACCAAATGGCTGCCTATTTTATCGTGATACCGGGTTGTCTTATCTTCGTCTGACAACCCTTAGTACATCTACCACTGCTTGGCTCTCGGAGAGGGCTTTCAGGTCAGCGGACAGTTTGTAGTGGAGGTTGGTGAAGTTCCATGAAGCGCTCCGTCGCGACTATTCAGGAATCCATGTCAAGTTCAGGAATCGCTAAACAGCGTTCTCTACATCAGGTGGGCTACTCGTGAAATGGACTCTGCAGGCTCGGCATTCGGAAATATCTCAATCGAACAAGGCTTTCCACGAACAATTCTTGTATTTCCGAGATCGTATGGGGGGGCACTACTTTCGTCCCATTCTGCATTTCATGTGAAACGTAAGGCTTTTCTCTGGAGTTGCTCGATATTGGTGAGTAATTCGTTTTATTTTCCGTCATAGATCGATGAGGATGCCGATATGGGATTCCATGAGCGCGTGATGTGTTGCTTTTTCGAGCGTCGTGGAGCAGCGGCCCCTTAATCTTGCCAGTATGGCTTTGCCAGACTGGACCTTCGAAATAACTTCCTCAACGTGGCCAGTATATGTAAGGTCGGCTTGAAACATGAGGCCCAGGCGGAATGCTCGTTGCCGGCCCCGACGCTCCACGCACCTTACATCGTTACGATTTCCCCAAGCTACTCGGGGACTCGAGAAAGGGGCGGCGGAGATCCCATCGAGCTTACACAGGAGCCTTCGCTAAGCTGGCTAGTCGTCAGAATCGTTGCAGAGAGCAATACAAGAATTGATCAATCAGGATCGGGAGTGTTTTGGGAGGTGATGTTCGTCCGGCCTCGTTCCCGAGCGTGACCTAAATGTCGACTGCTGACAAATAGACAGCAACTGGACAACGACCACGGCGACTAATGAGCTGCCGTGGAGGGACGTGGTAGAGAGGAATAGCCAAAAACCTCCCTTCTTTGTACCCACTGTGTGATAGACACCACCGACTCGAAGGCACACAGTGAATGCCGGCGTTTCCGAGGCAGCTCTTCAATGAGCCATCAGTATTAGGGGAGACGTCGCCCGGCTGACTGATAAAGCCAGATAGTCGGCTAGCTACACTGGGAGCGTTTGTACGCCAGTAGTGTATGTTCGGAGGACGATAGTCTTCTATAGATCCCTCGCGTCGTCGAATGGGACGGTGGCTCTTTGGAGGAGCAGAATTTACATTTCAATTGGGACGACACGAGGAAAACGTGCGGCTTTGTCAGGCTTGGTCACTGGGATAGAGGAGCGGAGTTAGAATAGTTACCCTCATTGTAAGCAGCACCCGAGCGATGTTCCGAAACGCCTGTACTTATTCCCCGACGCAGAGAGGAATCCTTCCGGATCGGCTGAACGAAATCTCATCGGAATCGAGATCATGACGAGAGATCCGAAGCGGCGACTCCTACGAAACAAGTTCACCGTGAGCCGATACCTCTAATGAATGAATAGACCTTCCATTGAATCCGCAAAATTTTCTGACTACAGCTTACGCAGCCATTGTCGAATAGGAGCACGGTTCCCGCCGATCATCCGGATATCGCATCGATGGGGACTCGATTCCCTTGGAGAATGTCGGAGGGACTTCTGTGGAACCGAGTTAGCTATCGACTGTCTACTGTCATCATCGATGCCACGACGGAAAATACACCAGATCTCCAGGGTCGTCTCGAGGTTTGCGGCAGGATGCTCCGTGGGACGGCGACGACGACGAAAAAGTATCCCACGAGGAAGGACAGAGAACTCGCTCGAGGGTTTTACTCAGTCGCTGGCGAGTGGGACAGCCAGCTAGCAACAACCTGTCAATCTATTTCGCTCAAAAGTTAACGCTCCGCTCGTTTGTTGCCTTTGTTGTTAGATCGAGAGAACTACTCGAGCGCCTCGCTTGCATTTGAGAGCTGAAGAGACTCCCTCGACGTCAATCGGGAAGCGAGCGTGGCACCAGCGTCCCACGTAGAGGGCACACAGGTAGCTCGCGATTCCGAGGAAAGAACCCTGGCTACAGGATTTGTTCTGGACCGACCGACCGATGGATTTGATTCTCGCTGATGATGTAGACGCCAGAAATGACCCTCGGTTGGAGAAATCGACGCGAGCCACATCGCGGGTGACAGCAAGAATCAGGAAATAGAGAATGACCCTCAAATGGTGGAAAGGGCTCCCGGAAGGAAAGAGGAGCGCTACACGAGGAGGATGGAGACTGGCTGGGATCCTCCAGTTATGCCCACCTCTTGGACGGATGCGGGGGTCCTGGTGAATCGTGGAGAAAAATGAGTGTGCGCGAACCGGATACTTTACAACATCAACATCGCTAGACCTTAGAGGCATGCTACTCATGTTGATTGTAGCGTTCACAACCTACGCCACTCCCGGGATCCAAGGTAAAGTTCCGCCGCGTTTCCATACCGTCGAAAGGAGACCTTCATCACCTCCACATGTCGTCCCCGGTGAGGGGAACATCAATTCCTGGAACAAACGATGATTTCTATTCCATGAAGCTCCACGAACCTCCGATAGAAGGAGAGAATTACCTGCAGCCTGCTTCCGCAAGCTCCTAAAATTGGGTGGAAGGGAAAATATTCGACGGCGGCAATGTGTCCGTCGTACGGTGGAGTAAGACCAATAAGAGATAGTTCGGGTCGGACAGCGAGCATGTCAGGTGTTTTATTGGCGGGGAGCTTTAGCATTCGGACGGTAATCTCATCGGGCGGCGAACATATTGCTCCGAGTAAACGGAACGTAATCTGGGAATCGCTTTTGGGATTACTCGACAAACGCTAGAGTCAACTGAGTCAACAATTCTGCATCTTCCTCTTTGCTTAGTGATTTTCGTCCCAACGTTCGTCTGGCTGACCAATGTTCCGGCCTCCGCTCAAACAAAAACTTCTCTGACAGCCCAAAAAGGAGATTGTCTCGAAATGAGCCAAAAGTCGGCGTTGTCGCTGCTCCCAAAGCCCTCAGCTGAGGTCTAGCTTCGCTCTGCAAGGTTGATGGACACCAAGTTCTCCACCTGGCAGTGGACTAGCGATGGTGGAATTTTTTGAACGGGTGGTGGCATCTTCTGCCATTACTTCCTTGCTGAGGCAGGAAAGCTTCTCGGGGCGGCTCTCGGATCTTGCTCCCCGCCCCGGTCTCTGCTCCATCCGCACTCCACGTCGGGTCAGTGGGTCCACCGCTTCGAAGCAAATAGAGGTTTGGGCCATTAGCTGATTTTATTTGCGCTCTCAGCCTGGAACGTGACGTCGTTTTTACAAAGAGAACATGGTGCGTGCAATCGGTCAAGCCTGTCCAGAGCGATCGACCGGCCAAGCGATTGTCTACAGCGAGCATGACGCCGTCGGTTACCGCCGTCGTTGGAGGTGCTCATTCAGACACCTATCCTATGCTCCTGAAGAAATCGTAACTGGCGTTATTGCTACTGCGAGCGCCCCAGGAGAGTAACGTGGAGCGGAGATCCTGCGCTCTACGAGATAGCGGTCGGATTATGAGTGAAACCGCAGCCGAGCTCACCGAATGAAGCAGCCCAACTCGCCTCGTCTGTATCGTTCTTCGTTCTAGAAAACGAACTCATTTCAAAATGGGATTACACCAGCGTTGTCGGCGGAGTAAAAGCTGCAGCTTCCACTGAGGATAAGAGGCGAGTCCCGAGCTACGACTCTGAGAGCTGCTTCCCGCATGCTCTAGGAAGGAAAAGCTGCTCCTCAGATGCTGAATCGCTGCATTTTGGGAGATAAGTGTCACGGTCTAGCCTAAGTCCGTCACTTTTTCGAGATACTGTCACCCGGTCCGCGTCAGTCCCACGCGGATTTTTCTTTCCGTCGGTAATCGACCTCCTTGAACAGAAAACCACTATCGACGCGGAGTGGTCTGGATGTTTGCGGGTTTCACTCATGGAAGTTATCTCTTGCCGGAATGGATGCCGCGACCTCGAATCGAGTCGGCAACGGTAGGAGAGGTTGAGGGAGTTTCCTGAGGAATTCTTCCGTCTCGAGAATTCCGATTGGGATCGCAGAGCCACGTGTTGCTTTAGACCGACAGCTCTGGACCGGAGGACTCGAGCCCGGGACTCATTCCCCTGAATTCCTTCTGGAAACGTGACAAGTTCCGCGGATCGTCGAGCGATGGAACGAAAATTGCGGGAACCCGGACAGAGCCCGAACTACTGTGGTCGGTGGCGAGCAAGTTCGAGTCTCGCTTATTGCAATCAAAAATCCAATAGACGGAAGGCCAACACGTCTCCTTCACGCTTGGCTTGTACGTGACCGGATCTGCGGGCGGAGCTCGGCGGCGGGCGCCATCTTCGGATAAACCAAGCGAGCGGATTGGCAGCACAGCATATCAACTACATGGTCTTCTCATTATCGGCGCCAGCTCGATAAGAACTATCAATTCGTCGGATATTCACTAGTTCGGGTCTCCACCAATCTTCACGTCGGCTGTGCAGAAACGATGGGCGTTTAGATTGGAGAGAACGATTTAAGCTCGTTGCGTGCCTCGCTAATACGGGACGACGGAAAAGACTGATTGACCGAATCGCGTAAGGACTTGCGAGTTCGCAACTCGCTTTGGGCGTTTGGACTTGATCGTTGATTCATCGCAACGTTGAATGGACCTGTAAACATCGAGTGCCATTGTGCCTGTATCGCTGTTGGTTCGATCGACTCCCTCTGAATGCTCGGATTCCGACATCCGAAGCCAACCACATGAGGCCTGAAGTCAAACAGACATCGGCGAACTCGTTTCGTGTAGTTGCGCTTAGCAAATTAAACAAAGCAGACGTTAGGCGCGATCAATCTCCATTCTGTGGGATTGCTTATCGGTCAGAGGGGACCATCAGAGGATCCATCTGAAGAGCAGAGAAACGGAATCGATAGTAGACGCGACCAAGTCTCGATGCGCGATTCTGTACGGTGAGTAGCGCCAGTCATCTGCCAGCGTAGCACCAGATTAATTAGAATCCTGATCGCGCATGGCATCCAGGGGATCGCACGATCAAATTCGCCGCTACTCGTGCCGATCCTCCTCCAATCTGTCTGGGAGAGCTGTCTCTAACGCTTACATTCGAAAGACTCGATCATTCGATTTCATCGGCGCCTTACGAGACGCAGCTCGAGGACCAGCGGCCTTCCGTCCGCTGACGCGTCCTCTCGCCCGTATGCCTTCTTCCTCAGCTCGCCGCTGGGATCCTTCGTCCCGAAGCTGCGTTTACGGCGCTGAACAAAGGAGAAATGGATCTGGCATCTCTCCTCGGCTACCTTACCGTCGGCGTCACGTTTGAGAACAACCTATGTGTGGCTCCAACTCTTACCGACAAACTCTCCGGTTCTCCGGAGTGTGGCAAGTGATGATTCTTCCGAAGGCCGTAACTTCTGCTAGATCCAAGCGAGTCCGCGCGATATATAGGAGCGCCGAGACTGCAGAGGAGCGACAGCGTTACTTCTCCGCTCGACGTGGCAATTCCGTTCTTCTCCGTATGACAGGAGTCGATCTGAAAGGAACGTCAGGCTGTAGGTCAGGTTGGATGTGTTTCCTTTTGTTGGGCGTCCCTGAGCTCGCAGTTCCCCTTCGAGATCGAACGCAGCAGGGAAGTCTTCGGAGAGCTCCGTCGAGCCGTAGGTACGGAATCGAATATTCCGAAGTTCAGAATTTCAATGAAACAGTATCAGTTTGAATTCGTACAGCGCCATTCACAGGCGGACTGCATTTTCTCGTTTTTGAGGCTGTCCGAACCGAAGTCCCTGACGGAACGACCCTCGCTCCCCGCCTCGTTCCGCAGTCATGCGGGGACAGGAAAGCTCTTCCTCTGATCATCCGGCGAATAAGACGTAATCCTCGACACACTACCTGCGACGGAATCTCTGAACTGCGTACCCGCGTTTGCCGAGCTCCGGGCGGCTCGTTTAGTTTTGAATTATGCCATCCGCCCCGAGAAATTAAGAACCTCCCCGCTGGAGGGCTCCGCAGCGGTGCATTCGAGAATCGAATGGCTTAGCGTTGCGTGTCGAGGGACAGGAGGAACAAGCTCAGAAACGCACACGGCGGCGTCTCGGGATTCAGAGGCAATCCCCGTTGATGTTGTTCGGTATTGAAATTCCTGTCTGACGAGCGAAATAAAACTCGAGTTCTCCAGGGAAACGTCCCGATCGCCACAGGAGCGAGACGAATACGAGCGGAGACGTACGATCGGCAGACGTAATGTAGGCATTACAGTCGTGGGGTATACTCCTCTTCGGTTTTCGCACTTCCGTTGGAGAGCGAGCAACGAAGAGCCACTGTGTTCACCCAGAATCTGAATGGGGAAAGAGACTCAAAGAATCGTCTCATGAACATTCCTGACCTAAATACGACTCGGGTCGCTCTCCACAGCGCTACACAGTTCGAATGTGAGCTGTCCATTCTCGAGCCTGATATTGAAAAACTCGAGCTCCAGAAGAGTCCCTGCCCAAGTCAGCTGGAACGAGTTCCTCGAGATTCCCTCGAAAGAATTTCTTTCCTCAATCTTAGCGGTATTGGTTCGATGCTGAGGAGTCGTCGTTCAGATTGGACGGTGTCGATTACACGAGAATGAGCCTCCAATGCGGGATCGACTAATCGCCGAGTCCCTCACCGCGTCACCCTTTGGCCGAGAGTCAAATCGAACCCTGCTAGCCAGTGTCAAGAACGCTCCGATCGGACGCAATCGAGGACTCACCGAGTTACCTACAGAGGTGCTCTATTTGCGGTCCAACATTTCTCTCACATTGCTGGATCGCAATCCACGATATTATCGAAATCTCCCCCTCAGAACTCGAGGGTTTCAGCCGCATGAGTCTCGGCGACAGGTTTCTCGGGAACTTTCTCAATACCCTTTCGGGAGAGATTCGGACCGGAAGCAAACCGTTCCCTTAAGGAGCTCTTCTTCTTGATTTTTTCCGATCAGCTTATCACCCAGCGACGAAGCCGTTGCCCGTCGGTGTCCGTACTCGTAGATTCGGGAGTCTCTTCGGGATTTTCTCGAATCTACTCGGAGGGGAAAAATTAGCGGAAGCCCGTGAGCCTCGAAGCGTGGATGGACCGAGGGTCATCTAGCACGATTCTCTAAATACGACCTCCTTCGAGCCGAGAAGCTTCGAACAGACCCGCACAGTCGGCAGCGATAATCCGGCCTGACTTCGGCGTCTGACGAAGCGATTGGCGGATGCCAAGCCAACTCAGGAGCGAGAGAGAGAGAGACGGACGGACGGCGAGCACCCGGGCATGCACCCGATCTACCAGAGTCAACCATCTGAACGAGTTGTAATTAGCAAACGGGTAAGACGCGCTCAGCGAAACGGCCAGGGAAGAAGCCCTCATAAACAGCTATACAGACTGCAGCTGTTGAGCATCAAAAGTCCATTCGGCGACATCCTCATTCTGGGCTCGGTGACTTCCGGCTAATGCGGATACCGCCGATTCGGGGACGAAAGGAGGCCACTGAAATGCGGAAATCAGCTCGAATGCGAATCCTCAGCTTCCGACTAAGGAATCAGATTTCGAGGGCGAGAAGAAGCTCGCCGACTGCTCGACAGAGCATGAGTTCCGATCCTTATGTGTGATCAGACCCCATGTGTGTATCGAAGCGAAGAAATGTGCTCCTTGGCTACGCCGAGAAAACCCGTCCGCATCAGCTTTGCGCTGCCACTCGTGAATAGCGGGGCTTCCGCTGTTCTCCTCCTTTCCTCGAGGCTGTCAACCTACCATGGAAACACAAGTGACAACCTGCCAACAACTTCCAGAGCTAGAGGTGTGGCTGACGGTCAGCTCAAAACTGAAAGTTACCTGCGGAGCCGGCTTACCCTGCGGTCAAGCTGCAGCTCATTCGACCGGTTGAGTCGATGGGAATGCCTTGTCTATTTGAGCGAATGTCGCACTTGGGGACAGGAGCGGCAGCGGCACTTTTCGAAAATCTAATAGTCGTCGACGACGGCGTCGTCGCCGGGATCCCATCTGTTCAACTTCTCGTCCGGCGACCGTTCGGTTATCTGGCTCTACCCACCACCGAGACTTCCGAGCGAGCTCGAGACAAGACCATGCAAGCTAACTCTCAACGGGGCCGCTCGAGGCTTATCAGACAGACAAACCAAACTACCCGAAGCGTCCTGTTTGTAAAAGCTTGGCTGCTGGCTGTTTGTGCTCAAGCCTAAATTGACGGATGTAGCGTTAGCTCACTCGTAGGCTGACTGGTCCGCATAACCCCTCGAGCGGCGGGGACACGGAGGAGGGGGTGGGGGACAAAAAAGGGAAGAGCGAAGCTCCGCTGTTTTCCTGAAAGGAGGGAACTTCCTGCTTGATCCCTGTTCGCGTGGGCGGCGAGAGCGTTTTTGTCAAAGACTGATGAAATTAGGCTTCCGCTTTTTGATTCAATATCCCACCAACATCTACCAGTGACAGTTTGTGTACTCGCGCTGCTCCTCCGTACAAGAAGTTATTCCTTCGTTGTTGGGCCAGTACACTCGGCAAATCTGGCTCTGCGCCTCTACGTATATCCATCCATGTCGACATATTTTGCAACCTTGTTGTTTATTGTCATGGGTGAGCCGACGATGTTGTATCATTCATACGATTGCCTGCATCAGGATCAAGCAGTTCCCTCTCGGATCAGATGCAGCATCATCGACGTTTGCGCAAGGACGACGCCGACACTCTTCTATCGTCGTCGGAGCCGTCGAGTAAATAAAGATAGCTTCATGAATGAGTTGCAGGTGGCCAGGCAGACATCTCCGCCGGCTGGCGGTAGCTTGTCGAGGAAATGAGCCTCGCGAACAGCATATATTATCGTTAGATTGTTCATGCAATCGTCGAAGCAGTGAACTAGAGTACGTGGGCAGAACCATCTGCCGCTAACGAACTTTCTGTGCTTCACGCGAGCACGCTAAGCGAATGAAGCAGGGAAGAAATGGAACGCAGAAGGAAAAACCGCACTGGTCGAAGCCCGGTGCTTCCGACCGATCCTGCGTGGTTCCCTCCTTGGTCATGCTCGCTTCCTCCGACCGCGCTCACACAATCGAGTACAGCCGTGATCCTAGGCAAGATTTGCATTCGGAGCGGGTGGGAACACTCGGTGGAGCGCTCCTCTTGCTCCTTCCCGGTGGGAGAGAACCTCTCTACGAGCCCACCTGAAGTATCCTCGAGGGCCGAGCTCAATGACGCTCTTCGTAGAAATTAATTCCTCGAGGGATTTGAGAGCTCTCGAGCATTAAAGAATTAATTCTGTTCCAGGCTGTGAACATGAAAAGATCCTGGCCTGTGCCGTGGGACTTCAGGAAGAGTTGTCAACAACTCGTCTCATTGTAAATATCAATCAGCTCAAAACCTACTGTGATAAAATGGCCGCTGCTCACAAGTGAGTTCAGGATTCCGATTGTCTGGGGTCTGTCGAGGGTCTGTCGAACTCCGGGGATAGAGACGATGATGATAACGATTGATAATGGATCTGCGGCGCTCTCGTTCCGCCGGCTTAGTTCTAGACGCATCCACTCAGACAGAGCTCTGAGCTAAGCGGAGAGTTTCTAAAGGAAAAACTTTTTTTGCCTTCTTCTACAACTCGGTCAGCTGTATACTCAACCAGTCGAATACATGTCAAAGTGACGTGCGCTCCTCATATGCGCACGTTGTCAAAGCCGAGCAAAGTGTAATCCGCGACTTGTGCCGGAAAGGCCCTTTTCAAGACGGTAAGTGAGAGCCCTGGATCCTGCATTAGCGGTGTTCCAAACAACGATGGAGTCCAAACGAGTGTCCCCGTCCTCCTCGACGTCATCGTCGCAATCATTGACGCTAAACGCATCATTTGGTATAGCGGAGTCATCATCTCTACTTGTTCGACGCGGGATCCCCCGGCCATTCGCTCGCTCGCCCCCTTTGCAAAGCCACTCAAGAGCTGCTTAGTGAGCCTTTGGCATGTTTCTGAGAAAGAGGCATCCGGCGATGGGCGCCTGGCTGTCTGTTAGACTGGCATCTTCTTCATTCGCCTCGAACGGTCTCGTGTCTCGCACTGCTCCTCGCAATTTGATGGATTACCCTATTTGAGAATATCCCGAAGACGCTGTACTTCGACTGCGGCATGATCTTTCCCCCGCATCTAGGTCGTTCGTATCGTTTCGTTTGAACGCGAAATCGCGTTGGTGTTCTCTGGGGCCGTTCGTGCCAAAAACCGCTGTCCTGGGCATGGGCGGAGACGACGCATAGGGAGCATCGTGTTCCGAACATGAGTGGCTGATCCCCGTTCTTACAACTAAGGCTCATCAATAACAACCTCGGCAAAGCACAAATGGAGGTCACGCTGCACAATTTATACCTCCCAAAGGTCTCTCTGCTCTTCTCTTCCGACCGCTTCTTGTTCCTTTGTATGGGGCATCTCCTTCGGCCGCTGTCGGTGATCGTCCGCTTGTTTAGCATCAATTCTTTATCTTCGAGCAAATCGCCACTGAACGCCGATGCTCGAACACCGAGGCTCGGAATTCATACGCCCGCCCACACAAACGCACAAGAAGCTCCTTCAACCACAACAAACTGCGACGATTCTCGTATCCCGTGGGCGCGAGCTCATCCTTCTCTTGCCTCCCTTCTCCGCTCGGCCGCCATAGTGAACTATTCATGAAGACGGCTGGAGCACTCACGCTGTCGATCGCCAGGGAAAGAATGGGACGAGGAACGCAGCGGAGAAATGAACGATACGAACGAGTTTCACTCGACAAAGTCCCAGAACCATCCGATTCCCGAGTAATCTCCGCTTGCACCCATCTCATAACCTCTTGACGACATTCGAGATCGAGGCAGGCGGCGTAACGATTGCTTTCCTTGAAACCCCAATCGTTACGAGAAGAGTTCCGCGCGACACGGAGGAGTCTTGGCTCTTACAATGCATTCTGCTTTTCAGACTATCTCCGGGAAGCTGGCTGCCTTTCGAGGATCTATTCCGAACAGAATAATGGAGTCTGTAGTAAGGATTACGTGAATCTGGTTGCCCACGCATTTGGATCGAGGAGTCGAGAGAAGATGCACAACCCGACCACGCTGCACAATATGTGTTGGTGAGTAGAAGTACCCATGAAATCTTTCGACGAGGTCGCATTCTGGGCAGAAGTAATAGACAGCAGGGTCAGACCGGCTCTGATGAACCCCAATTCTCTATTGGGGATACGAGTGTGGAGGCCTCGGAGAGCCGGCTCCTTATCCTGATGGCTGCCCTCAGCCTCCCGAAAATTCGGAATTCCTTCCCCCGGAAAATAAACTCATACGCCACAGGTAGTGAATGAGCTGAGGGTTAGCGAAAGGCTGGGTGAGCCGCCGAATCATCCACTGCTCTTAGAAAGTCATCTGCGCAGGGGAGATTGTGCTTTGAGTCGGGGCGAGTGACAGACTGAGTTTGATGTCTTCGAGTGGCTATTGTTCGTGGCTTTCCGCTCCTGGATCGAGAAGACTCTCGTTAGAAGTTCGCGTCTCGCCTAATGGCCCGTGGTGGTCATATGGACCGGTGGAGAAGACGTCGCAAAGGGAAAGATAAACTCCGTAATGTATTGCCCATTACATAAGCCCTGACTCGTAGCTCTTTCAAGCAGCGGGAGCGACGACGACGACGAAGGCCGCTAGTGTTGCTTGTAGTGCTACCGCTGCTGCCGCTGGTGATCTCCGCCGTACGCGGAGATGGCTCATAATAACGAGATCCGTCTCCTGAGGACACTTCACGGTAGACGATGGCAAGGGACTTGGTCCGGAGCGACGATGCTTCGTGTAATTCCCTCGGACAAGCAACGGCAGCATCGTTCTGTCTCAATTAACCCAATATCCGCTTTGTTTTCAGTGCGTACTACGCGGTATTCAAGTGTACTCAGACGCACGCTGGACGGTGTGGGGGACGGACCATGACGAAGAGCCCGCTTCGCCAGATATACCAAGGCCTGGATCACAATTGTCGACCTTTCAAAGCCGTTTGCGAAAAGTCGAAGGGGACTCCAGGATCCGGAGGTGCTACGGGTGGAGGAGGTGGAAATACTTATCACAAGCCGAAGATTCTTCCCCATCATCCCCCGGCGGGGAAAAATAGAGGCCACAGCGGTAGCAGCAGCAGTGGCGTTGCGCGTTCATTCTCACTCAGAAAAACCGCCCCTACGGCGCGTCTTTTGCTGGCTGTTGCTGTTGTTGTGACGCTAGTCTCCGCTGTCATATCGTCGGCCGCAACTCCGTAGAGAATTCATGACAGAGGGAGCTCCCTCAAGGGAATCTTCGTCGGGCAACGTGAGGAGGCGGGAAACAGCTCCGAGAGACAGCGGAACCGTCCAGCTAAAATGCAAATGCAACCTCATTTCCGTGACAAGAAATGACGAAAGCGCGTGCGGCACACTCTTCGGACGATGGCATGGCGTCGACCTCACAGCAACGGCCACTCAGAGAAATAAGGGAATTCCAGTCTGTGAATCCATTCAAAAGTTTCTCGATGTCCACCGACTTCTGCTGAGATAGCCTTGGAAGTTTGCTCTCTCGGAGTTCTTCAATCACCTACTCGAGCATACAATTCCTGAATATGAGACGCAGACAGTGAGAAGTTCTGCTTTTCGATTTTTGAAGCGGGTTTCCCCTACATTTATTCCTCTCGTATTCCCAGACAAGCATGTTTCCGACGACCGGATGATGAATATGTATCTTGAATGACGCTCACGAATCCTTGTTACCCGGTGGCGGACGGATGTGTTCGGTGTCTTCGCCAAAAGTTCCGCTCCGACCTCGTTGAATTTTCGCAGGGGAGCGTTCAGAAAACTCAAAACACTCTCTCGCAGTAGGTAGCGCCAAGCTCAGAACCGCATCCGACAGATGCCACAACCGATCAAATGTTCCTCCATCCTCCACCGGAATCGTGGAAGCTCGCGGGAAAGATTCCCGCTGAGCTTCGGACGTCCCGACTGAACCCTGTCGTCACATCTGGATATGAACGCTGGGACAGAGACCACTGTTCTTTTCTGGAGTTTGCCCCGTATCCCCCGCCTGATGAACCGAAGTGTTACTTCTGAGTGAGCTGACTCATCGTTACGATCCTCGTTGCCGAAAGCTTTCGACTGATTTTTATCATCGCCAAGTTCGCCGCGATGGCACGAGCTGACCCACGGGATATCGTAACACTTCCATGTACAGTCTGAATCCATATGGGTCTGTGTGCTCGGAAATTACCTCAGTGATCCCTCCGTTTCGTACGCCCTACCTCCTCTAGAAGAAAGAAACCTATGGAGGGCTCGTTTCGAGGGGAATGTCCACTGCCCGGAGCCTTGTTACATATGTACGTACATAGATCGATCCCAACGGTTTCACCTGCATATTTCTCGGGACTTGGAAACCCACAGAGAAGGGGCCCGAAAGAACAATGTTATTGGATTTATTGAGACGCTATTCTTGGTCAAAAAAGCTCAAAAATAAATGGAGAGTATGTAAACGTTTCATAAGTCAATGGATCATCGAATGACGTCACCGAGAACTATTGCATGATTATCATTTTTATAATTATACCTATGATTAATAAATTCCGAGAGAGCAATGCAATCTCGATTTCCCCAGCATTCCAGGTAGCAAGAACCTAGCAGAAATCGAATATTTTCCGGATGAAGTCGTCGCGGAAGCGGATACACGTATTCGTGCTTGTCACTGCGGCTCATATCCCGGACGTCGCACCGCAGGTGGAGCAGCGACAAAGCAGGAGCCCACAGGCGGAGCTTCCTCATAAGCGGGCAGCCACGCATTGAATATCCAATTCCAACCATGCTCTTGGCTGCCAGAGGGCAAGTTTGAAATGTTCGGAGAGGAGCTCTGAATGGAAGCCCCTCACCGAGGGCAGGAATCCCGTCTCGAAACATACACGTGTCTCCATTAAAAAATTGAGGGCTTCCGGACCAGGATACGCTCCGCCATTCGCTAACATTGGAAATGTCACTCTAGCCGTCTTGGCTGCCCGGATTTCTTCCCCCGCTCGAGAATCCCCGAGATGGGAGGAACGGTGAATATCTGCGAGCATCGGAAATCGGATTGTTTCAAACAATGGAGAAGGAGTCTCAAACCTTCGAAATTCCGTTTTTCATGTCACCCGATCACTCGATAATGAAGCAGAGGAACGGGGAGCCCCAACGTGCGACGACGCAGGCGCCTCTCAGCTCCTTTGAGATACGGAGCTCACGACTTACCGACCTAACGCCGTGAAATCAAGAGCATATTGATAACCGACCGTCAATATGATTCCGCAATCGAGATCGTGGCAACGCCCGCCGCAAAACAAGCCAACAACCGTCTGGGATGCAAGTCGAATCCCTCATTAGCCCGGCTATTTGGGTGAACAGGACAAAGCCAACGTGGCACAGATCCTTGTGAGCATTAGCGGCGAGCCATCCGGCGGGCTTCCTGATAGTTGGTTGGCTTGCTGCCTCACATAGCCATAGCCGAGTGACTGGCTCCATCCCGCTTGAGATTGGCCTGCTTGCCATGCTGAGTACACGCTCTCCAAGAAGGCCTCATCAAAAAGGCAACTCGTAGCTCGACCAATCCAGGGGTAATTCCAATAAGATTCCAATCGCCGCGCCACCAGGATAATGGAGAGGGCTCTCTATCATTCCCCGTTCTGCAAGCAAAGTTCGTCCACTGAGTAAGAAAAAAAACGGGCTTAGCTCGCGGGCAAACCTTTGAGAAAACTTAGTTGAGCTCTTTGAGAGCCGACCCGGCGCAGTTTTTGTCTGCTTTCGTCGAAGGTAGGGGCGAGGGCGTTTAATTGCTAGCCAGACAAGCTTCCGGAAAGACCGGCGGCGACCCCGGAGTCGAGTCCGCCCTCCGAATATTTGTGCTCGTTCACCTAGTAATCTCCTGCGAGTCAGACCTTCAATTATGCTTTTGTTTATTTGGATAAGTGCAGAGGGGCTCTTTGCTCACTCGTGTTTGCATGAATAATCTGCCCGTCATCGCGACCAGCTTCGGCGGAAAGTGTAGATGTTAGAAACACACTTAGTTTAATTGGGGGCAGCGAGTGAGAACATGAATTTCTTCCCGAGGAGTTTGGGGGCTTCTGAGAATTTTCGAGAGCTTCCCGCACGAGTTCAACTGGAGGGAAAATGTCTTCGATGAAATTCCTCCGCGTCTCTCCCAATCCCGGTGGGATCCAGCTCTCAGCGCTTAATGCTTCTCAGGAAGTCCTTTCTGCTTCCCTGTTCTCATTAAGTCTCACTGGACGAGATCAAAAAGCGGCCGCACGAACAAAGAAAAACTAAATTACTCGACGTCTAGCGAGATTGGTGGCGCTATCGCTAGCATGACTCTGTTGTTATAGTGAATTACGTTGACTCTCCTTGGAGGTTCTAGCAAGGGCCGGGCATGCCCTGGATATCGCGCTCGTGGAGAGCTCTCGAGCCGTCTCGGAAGACGGGTAATTAAAGACATAAAGCAGTACATGTAAACCCACATGCTCGTTCTTCATATCGTCGAGCTCTACGCCGCGCCGTCTCGCTTGCGCGAATTGTGATGCAAATTGAAGTCGGTATCTCGTGCCTTCCGGCTCCTCATCTGCACGCGCATGCTCGGATTCATTCTGCGGAAAGCTCAGAATTGTTTCTTCTGCGGAACGAGCTCCTCGTTACCGGGAGAAAAGTGAGCTTCAAGTTGAGTACCGCGGAACAATTAAAACTTCGTCAAGAGAGGTCGCATAGAGCGGCGCACGGGGCGCGAAGCCTTCCCGGGTCAAGCCTAGCGGGAAAGATTTGTGGAACTCATGGAAGAGCTCGGAGATGCACAGAGCGTGCGTGGCCCCTGTCCACGCATATCAGTGCGGTCCGGCTGGATTCGAGCAGGATATCTCCGGAGAATTTTCAGCGTTGATCCTAACTCCCAGGAAAATCGAGGATTCGGGTGATTTATTCTCACGCGATCCAAGCTGATTAAATTAGCGACAATGTCATTCATCGTCGGAGCCATGCGAGAGTAGACTAGTCGTGTGTCTGTTGACAGCTCCCCGGGTCAAAGAGACGGCACACAGAGATTTCCATCCCGATATTAGCTGTATTATATTACCAGCGTGCCCGGCCGCGCTGCGCTGCGGCTTACATTGTATCTATATAAATGTTTATTCTAAGATCGTGACGAACAAAATCTAGAAATCAGTGGCGTTGTCAAGATCTGGCCATTCCCAGCTCGTCTCTTCGCTTCAATAGAACTTCCTCTCCCTCGATTCTTGTCCCTTAGTATCCGAGTTTCTTCTCTCTGCTCCAGAACCTCTGATCTCTACCCGTACCTAATTTCGCGGTCACGATTTCTGTTTTTTTCCCGCTGCTCCACACATTCCCTCTTCTATTCGTCTCCCGGTCGCCCTTCAGGCTCCCTCTCGTTTGCTCTTCAGAATTGGTTCTCTTCCTTCACTAACCCTTGACTTTTTCACATCATCCCCCACTTCCCTGTGTCCTCCCTTCTCCTCCTTACTTTCCTCGCTCAACCGTCTATCCGCCACCCCCCGATCCTCTCGTCTTCCCGTTCCCCTTTTATACTTCGATCTCTCCTTCTTTCACACTATTCTCACCTTCGTGTCTCCCCTCTCTCCGCCTGGATCAGATATTTCCCCATTTTCTTTCTCCTCCTCGTTTCCCTTGTTTCCCCCGGCTTTCCCCTTTTCTCCACTACCCCGATTCTTCCCGTTTCTCTGCTGCTCTCAGTTTTGGCTCCCGTCACTCTCATTTCCTCGTTTCTATTCTCCTCCCGGATCTCCTCAATTCTCCCAATTGTCTGCTCAGTCCCTCTTCTTTCCACTTACCCTCCTCTCCCCTCTGTCGTGTGCTTCTTTTCCGAGTCACTCTGTACCTCCCCCACACTTCGTCCGTTTCTATCATTTCATACTTTTCCCTTGTTTTTCCCCGTCCCTTCGTCGTATTTGCCCCGCTACTCGTCTACTCTCAGATGTCCCCACTCCTCCCGTTACACCCTTTTCTCATTTCCCATATCTCTCCAATTTTCTATCCACGTTTTAATCCCCTCCTCTGCTCCCGTTTCTCATGATATCGTAAGCGTTTGCCTCCTCTTTTCCCGTTCTCATCCCCCCCTGTCTCACACATTCCAATCACTTCTCGATACCTGTTCCCGCTCCCTCTCCCTGAATTTCTGCTATTTTTCCGTCCCTGTCATTTTTCTCTTCTTTATCTTTTTTACCTCGTTGGTACTTCTTTCCCGTGCCTTTTCT